ATATCACCATCATTTTCTTCGATAATTTATGTTGACAGGATAACTCTAGAAAAAAAATGGACGTGTTTTATCGTGCACATCAGCTCACTAAAATTAACTGTTGATTTACTTCTAATCTAAGAAAAAACTAAAAATGAACAGCCCTGTAATAGCACTGTCCCACATTTTTACGATGCACATAATTCTACGGAAACTGTGTAGTACACACACTTTGCCTCACCAGTGCATCTTGTAGTGGACGATCTTTCTGGAAAATCCCTCCTGGATAATCTATTTATAATGTTTATACTTAGACATTTTAACTAACTCTGTAATTAGTATACGTATTTCTCCTCTAGACTGTATATCATTAATTTGACATTTCCATAACACATTTTTGATCTTCTTTATTTGCCTTTGTCTTCGTTTAATCTTTAATTGTGATACTTCTGTTTGTGGTTGTGTGCACATTGATAATGTTTTGTTTAAAGATAAGTTTGCTTTGAAGATCATTCTAACCAGGGAAGCCTTGGTGCGTAATTCTTATATACAGAGCTTTTGATCTCACCTCACTGGAAATATTCGCCTTGATTCTTAGGTACCATTTACAATTGAACTTCGGTGAACTAATTTTGTCTTACAGTACCTGTTTAGTATTTGGAAACATACATCGCTTGTATAGCTAGCTAGCTGACTCACAACACTGTTGGGGTAATTTTCACTTCGATGTTATTATTGTTTAATAGAACTGCTAGAATATTGGCGAATAATCGTCTTTTCCCTACCTCTGGAATGTTTTGTGATAGCACGCGTCTCAAAGAAGTTTTGTCAGCTATATTTTAGAACGTAGAGACATTAGTTTCTTGCGTTTAAACGATAATCGAATAAATTTGGTCGCTACACTTCTACTCCATGTTACACTTCACTAAAGTCTAAAGTCGTGACCAGTAGGGTGCAGTAGGTCAGGTATGAGGACAAATACTCGCTGAAGACAATGGCTAGAGGTTGCGCTATGTCGTGAATTGGCAGAAGTTAGAACACATGGGCCATTGGATCGGATCCAAGTGGCTTAATGGTGTACGAGCTCGCTGTCCTTGTAACCAGAAGGTCCTGGGTTCGAACCGAGTCGGTGGGTGCGTACTATGAAGAGTCCCAAACTAGGCTGACGAAACAGCCGTCCAGTACTCCCAGCTTGTTTTCCAATGGTTCTCTAACCAATGTCAGCTCATGATGAAATTCTGTAACCAATCTAAATTAATTTATTTAGCAAATAAAAATGACTAATTTTCTAATATTCCCCCTCGAAGCAAATTCTCTATCTTAGCTTTGATTATGGCCATCAGGTAAAATTAGTTTAAGACCTTTGACATTATTCATGGAAAGTTTCATCAGTATATGTATATATATGCATTTTCGGGAAAATACAAGATTTACCATGTTACAGTGCTGTGAATTAATTTATTTCATGTAAAGCAATAAATAAAAAACATGTTTATATAAGTGAAATTAGAGTGATGGGGAATCAAGATGATGATAAACATCTGTTATTCTGTTAATAAATGTCATAATTCAGTAATCTTCAAACAAACATCTAACTGTCTGTAATGTAAAGCAGCTGAAACACAGGCTAACTTCACAGAATGTCAAAAAAGTAATCTAGAAGAATGTAATCTGATACTTAACCTTTCCTTAAACTAAATAATAATAATAATAGTTAGTTAAATGAAAGATTAATTAACATTCCAAAGGTTGTAATAAATCACTGTAATAGCTTTTAGACAGTTTTAATAATACACCAAGTAATATTAGAGTAACACTGTTAAACAACTGAAAAAAAGCAGACTTACTTGATACTTAGAATATGGTATGCTTAACTCCAGAAACGATAATACTAATGATAGATGATACGGCTATTTAAATTTCGATTAATAATAATTGACTTAGAACACCTGAAGACTTGCAGGCGAAAACCAACAAATTGGCTGAAGTGGCGAGCAGGGAAGAGAGGACTCCATCCAGATGAATATAGAGAAGATGGAGGTGATGAAGACAACCACGAACCATCAGCAACAGCAACAACAACCAACACTAATCACCATCAAAAGGAGAGATTTAACAGCGGTTACTTCCTTCACTTATCTAGTAAGCATCGTTTCCATCAGAGTTGGACAGCACGGATGAAGATGTAAAAGTTAGCCAGAATCGGAAAGGCAAAATACACCTTCATCTACCTGAAATCGGTTCCGACATCTGAACTCCGCAGCATAAACAACAAGATTTGGATTCTATTCAACACAAATGTGAAGTCAGTCAGTCTGTTCTTTTATATGAGTCAGAAACTTGGCAACCGCACTACCAAAAGCATTTCCAACAGGCTACTTCCAACTCTAATCAACAGCTGCCACGTCCACCGGCTTCATACTGAAGATCAAATAGCCGAGTGGTCAGAAAGAATTAGTAACAAGAAACTCTGGCTTGGAAAAGCCGACCAGGAGTCGATTGCTCATCAAATATGTAGGAGAAAATGAAGATGAATTGGGCATACATTGAGGAGACAGCCGAATGAAATCACGTGCAATCCAGGCTATCGCTCGAGTGGAATCTGAATGGAAAGCGACAAGTGGAAAGAGAAAGTGTGCCGAGGAGGAGATGAGAGATTGTGGGCAATCGTGGACCTAGCTGTAGAGGACGACAGGAAATAGAAGAAGGTGGATATATGTTGTTGAAGCTCTATGTTCGAGTCAGAACCCAAGAGGACAATAATAATAACCTGACGCACATAGTACTTTAATAGATATTAGTGTTTTCTATCCCAACATAGAGTGATAGTTCTCAAAAACTCTTACGAAAAATAAACTGGCTACTTTGAGCAGACCTGATCTGGAATTTAAATCTACACTATTTTTTTTTGAGATGAGAATAAAAGCTGTAGCAAAGTATTTTCGTGCACATTGTAGTAAACGCCAATAAAGATACCTCAGAGCCTTTAAAACAGCCAAACTTAATATCAGATATAATCACACATAATACACAAACCAACTATGTGAGGAAATTTCAACCATAATTCACTGTCACCATTCTATCTATCCGGGTATATTGAGAAGAAAGAGTGACAAGTTTGTTTTGCATTAACTTATATCCACATTCCTACTCTCTTTTTTCATACTAAAATATTTCATAAGACTGCCAATAGACAAAGAGACCACTGGATCGGGTCCCGGTGGCTTAATGGTCTATGATCTCGCTAGCCTTGTAACCAGAAGATCCTAGGTTCGAACCGAGTCGGTGGGTGCGTACTGATGAAGAGTCCCAAACTAGGCTGAGGAAACAGCTGTCTGGCAGTACTCCCAGCTCGTTTTCCAATGGTTCTCTAACCAATGTCAGCTCATGATAAAATCCTGTAACCAATCAATCAAATACCTACAAACCAATACTTGAATATCAATGAAATGCTCACTGGCGACTGGCTCTATTCAGGTAGGTAGTTACCTGGCGTTCCAGTGGGAAGTCATGACCAGTAGGGTGCAGTAGGTCGAGTGTGAGGACAAATACTCGCCAACGAAGACATTGGCTAGCGGTTGCGCTATATCGTGAGTTGAAAGAAGTTGGAATTCATGAGCTGGCCATTGAATTGGGTCCCAGTGGCCTAATGATCTACGAGCTTGCTTGTCTTGTAACCAGAAGGTCCTGGTTTCGAACCCCGGTGGGTGCATACTGATGAAGAGTCCCACACTAGGACTAGTGGAACAGCAGTCCAGTACTCCTAGCTGGTTTTTCAATGGTTCTGTCATCAATGTCAGCTCATGATGAAATCCTGTCACCAAAATGAATTAACTTACCTCTTAAATAGTGTCACTTTAATCAGAACTCTATTAATAGATCACATTGTTCAACACTTTTGGCAGCATAAAAATCCAACAGAGAAATTCATTTCATTAATTAATTTAATGTTGTTTCTTTAAATATATGTATATATGTAGATATATAAACATAGTGAAATCTCCTCTTTGATTGTTACTTATCAAACATTCGTTGTCAGGGTATACTGGATGTACATAAGATTGACATATATATATATATATAATCTATTTATACGTACATTTACCTATATATATTATATAAGTCATAATGCATTCAACAGTATAATCAAAACAACCAAGAATATTATAACTACAAAATATGAATAATAATAATGATAACAATGATAATGAGGCAGAGCCAAAAATACAATGGTTATATTATTTTGTGATCACTCAAGATTTGACAGCATAAGTTCAACTCTTTTATTTGTCTAGAAATATATAAGAAGAATGAACAAACAAAAATCATGGTATCAAAATAACGAGAGAAAAAAAAGAAAGAAAGAAAATACAACAAATAATTGTTGTAATGATATTAACAAGAATAATAATAATAACAATAGTCGAGGAACAGACCATAAATATTGCATCACCCGAAAGGAAATTTAAAACAAAAACGAAAACAGATTAGAGAAATATCAGAAAACAAAAGACAAGGACCTAAACTGTAAGAAACCACGCTTTCACCTTTCTTCTCTTTGTTGTTGTTTTTTTTTTTACAACATGTACGTGTATGCTGGTATGTGGTGCTAGAAAGGAATTCAATAAACGATGCACATAGTAACTGGAAACGGCAATGTGTATGCATGCTAGGCTATTATTATATCATCAAGATTTTCGGGGAGGGGGGGTTAGCTTAACAAATTACAAAACAGATTTCTTCATAAAGAATGGGGGGATTACACGGATACAGGTGTGCTTCTTCTTCTTCATCGAACTCAAATTCAAGATGTTCAATATGTATACAGGAAAGGAGCATACAACAAGTTATATATGTATATATACATATATATATATACATTACATGAGAAAATATTGTTAGAAAAGTTTGATAAATTGTTATTACAAAAAAGACACAAAACAAACAACAAGAGATAGTCTCTACTTGAAATACAATACCAATAAGGATATGAAAATGATTCATCTGTGCGTATATATATATATATATATATATATATATATATGAAAGAAAAATAAAAGAGGACCATCGTAATAGTAATAACAATGGTAATAATAATACTAATAATAACAATATTAATTAAATTTCAAAATATAATCATTTGTTTTTATTTTCTAATAGAAAATTTATAACTTAAGATAAAAAAAAGAAAGGCTGAGTTCACTTCATCCATCCATCCATCCATCTACACGTATATATATAATTTCTCATTTTCTCCAGATACAGACTAATAAATATTCTACTGATAAAATTAAAGGTGATGTAAGATAATTCATAAATTGAGGGGAGAAGAAAATTGCAGAAATTATTGCCTTCTGTGTAAATGTGAATATATTATGCTGGAAAAAAGTGAAATACAAAGAATATGAATTACTTAAATATAATATTTAAATTTCGTTTATTACTTAGACGCATTTGAATTAAAGCATTAAAACAAATGGAAAATCAAATGAGTAGTGATCATTAATATTGTTATCATTATTTTTATGAGGTAGGGTGGCTAGCTTCACACTCAACCTTCCTCCACCCTTTACTCTGGTCTTAATACCGGCTTAGCGAGATTTGGGAATGTGTTGGCCGGTGATTGAACCTGAACCACCAATGCAATGTGTGTGTGCGTGTGAATGGCAATATTTATATGTCGATAAGTGATATACACACAGTTTACGACAAAATAATTGATTTTAACTTGCTGATAATTAAGATTTTTCGATGAAATACTTTTAGAATCCTTTAATGAGGCTCTATAATTTACCAGTTTCAATAAAAGCAGACATTCACTTTCAACAGTACATAAGGTTATGTGGAAGGACTATCAAATATCCCAACTTCCAAATAGATATATAACCGCAACAACTCGGTTCATCAAAATGGGATAGCATCATAACTAAGTCTTTAAATTCTGCAACACTAGATACGTATTGGTTACACTGAACAGTTGGCCTGTGAGACCCATCAAAAACTCTATCATGTGTAATTTTCCAATTAAATATGTTCTCGAAGTAACGCCTTCTCTGGGGAGTCTAAATCAGACTAAGTACACGTGGTGATAACTCCGTTAATAAACAGAGTAATAAAAAATTTTTAAGTGGTTAAAAAAAGTATTTAGGGAATATATGCAAAAAGATTACCCTTTTGAGATTTATTGACGAAAAAGTTTTTTTTCGGTATAAGATAAAGGACGGCAATTTCAAAGAATCGACTGACGACTTATATGGATGTAAACGTCAGTAGAATAAAATTAAAATGGATGTTAGTCAATAACATAGTTTTCATTCCACTAGTTTTCTTATTCACTAAGATTCAACTTCTTACTTATGAAGCTTTGTAATCTAACTAAAAGTCATCTATTTACTGAATCTTCGTGGGTGGATATTTGTTTTCTACAAATAATGGGGAAGTACTGATTGTTCTCAGGATGTTAAAAGTTGTCAGCAGGGTAAGAAAAGTGCCACTTGACCACACTGTTAATATTCTGGCCGACAGGCACATGGACTCATGTGAAAAATGGGCTAAGTCCATTCTATCTAACTCACATCAACCTCTTCATTCACAACTCTCCCCTTGTATCTCATCAGGCAAAACCAAAAGCCTATATAGGAAACTATATGCAAGCACTAGCAAGTACAAAAACTCAACCATACCCTACTTAGATCGTGTTCTGTACGATAAAGAAGGCATTAGGCGTAATACCTATAGCTTATTAAATAGTCAGTAGAACGACTGGATCTCGTCTTTCCAACTCATATCATTCATGGGTACAACGTTTTCTTTCTGTCTTTTCCTTTTCTCTTTCTTTTTTCTGTTATGTGCAGCTTTGTTTCTTTCTTCTTTACTAACTCTATTAAAACATTCTACGTTCTCTCACACTCTGTATATCTCAACTTTCTGTTACGGCTTACGCCAGTAAATCTGCTAGCATCTACTTTTCTAACACCTTAAAACACTCTGCTCAATTTCGGCTTTGCTATCGACACGGCAATATGTTGTTGTCGAAACTAACTGAGATTACCCTTAATCTATGTAGAATTTTATTTATTGATAATGTACTAACTGGATGCAATACTGTAGTAAAATGCTGAGAATTTCATTCTGTATCACAAGTACTGTTTTGGAATAAAGCAAATTATTACTATTATTTTTAATATATGGGAAAGAAATACTGTCTGCACGGCATGTAAAAGGCTTATCTAACCTACTGAAAATTTGAAGCTGTTGTCAAAAATAGTCTCCGATGTGATTGAACTCAATAACAAGATCAGCCAAGTTTCATTTAGCCTTGGTGGCCTGTTTGAAAGTTGGGCTACCTATTCTTCCACCTACATATTACATCTAATTTATAGTATTTGATTTTTATTTATCAAAAGGTGACCTCAAATCGTATCATACATTCTCCAGAGCTTATAAAACTTTAAAAACCAAGTAACTTTCAAGGTTCTAAAAAAGCTAAGAAAAAGCAGTGCTCTTAAACGGACACCTTTATATCAAGACCTCATATCCTGTGTCAATCGAAGCTTAAATAAGCTTTGGAATTAGTATTTTATAATTTTGGCTGTTATAAACTAACAGCATCAGAAAGAAAGCTCAAACCAAACCATCATATTCATCATAAATAGATAGCTGTTTAAAATCGATAAAAACTCGCTATACAAGTTACTAAAGTGACATTGGTAGGATAATCGAAAATAAAGCCAAATTTGTATACTTACTTTATATCTAAAAGTATTATACCTATATGATCATATGTGGAACGATTTGTTAATAGATACATATATATATACATATATATATATATATATATATATATATATATATATATATTAGTAAACACTAATTAAACTGTCATGTAAGTGTTATTACCAATTCATTTATCAAACGAATAAGGTCAGTATAGACTATTCAAATTTTATCACATTGTATATCACTTTTTTCAATTATTATTATTATTATGGACTAATTTTTAACGGTCATATATTTTATGGATGTTAAAATTTCTGAATGAAATTGTTTCACACTTTCACATTGTTCTGTTCGCATTCATAAAAGTGACTTTCAGGCGAAGTTAAATACACTAGTCTACTGTACAACAGTCAAACCGTTATCATTATTGTTAGCTCGTTAAAGAAGTGACAAACATCTTAATGCGTATCGCTTGATAATAATGATAATAAAAATATTTGCACATTATCTAACTACTTATAAGTAGGTAAGAGATAATGATGAAAGTACACTGCCAAAGAATGTACATCATGAAATGTGATTTGATTTTAATATTATTTAACTCTAATAAGAACAATTGACTACTGAGACTGTGGTGAATATTATGACGCTAAAGTGACTACATGATTGATAAAAGGAAAAAAATGTATATTTTTATCAGTTAGAAACAAAAATTTATTTTTCAAAAGAATGGAGTCGTATCTAAAGTGGCTTCTTGTTTACAGATAGTAGTTTTTTCCGCTTTCTAAGGGCGATATACCAAGTGAGATAATTTCGAGGAAATTAAGAAAATCAGTTCAAAGAACTTTTAATGCTGGTGAACTACACGTCTTATTCTCTACACGACCAATGATACTACCTCGACTGAAAGACGAAGTACCTAGACTAGCCACTTCAAATTGTATCTACCGATTCAACTGCAATTATGGAGCGAGTTATATTGGCAGTTGCTCTAGGAACTTGATTTCTCGTGCTCGAGAACATCTCCCACTATGGCTAGGTAAAGGCGTGATAAAAAGCATGAACAGTTCGATATTAGAGCATCTAGTCCAAACCTGCCAAAAAGCCAGCCATTATTGAAGAATCACTATAATACAGCGGGTGTCTAATAAATTGCCAAAATCATCGAAGCACCGCATGCTCCAAACAGCAGAGGCTACTGCAATTTGCCTCAGACAACCAATGCTGTGTGTTCAAAAGAAACAAGTCCAGATCCTACTACTACCTTGGCCATCTGTAGAAACTATAACTTCATGAATTTGTAATATAATCTTATCTAATTTTTCTGACATTCAGCTTATTTTATGTTGATGCTATTGAGCTGTAATCCTTCAATATTATTGATTCGATGTTATTTAAACAACATTAATGTTAATCATAACACTAATTCTTTCATTCACTATAATGTATATATAACTGTAGAGCGTGATGATGAAGTTATTGAAAAGAGTACTCTTTTTTCAGTATACATTCTTTTGAAAAATTTCAATGGGCATTTGTAGTCAGTTAAAAATTTATTTTCCAGTAAAGTATTTCGGATGAAGTCAATATTAGATCATACTGTCATTTCCCTTTTCAAAGAAAAATCATTCAGTCAACGTATACTTAAAAAACTAAAATGAAAGCTGAAAATGAAAGTTTCTTAAAGAGAAGGGTTGAGATGTTAAGCCGGTAAAAAGAAGTCAAATCTCATTGATAAGCGTTAGCCCAGAATGAACTTTTTGTCACACTTGAATCTCATCATTTGAAGATGTCTGAGTCCAAAAAGGCGATAGTAATCTCACTGATGCCTAAAAACATCGTTTCAAATGCCAACACGCTAACCACTGGACTTCTGAGACTTTGGAGCCACCTTTAGTGAGATGAAGGTCAGTTGTTATTTATTCAGATCCTAAGCCTCAATGGGAACACAGTCAGTAGCTGTGATACGGATGCCTGTGGTCAACCAGTCTCAAGCAGGATGAAACGCACGTCTCGGATTCCACTGATAATCATCATCAACCAGACAAGTTCACCTTAAGGCATCATAAAAGCGTGCATACTACAGAACGACCATTTTGTTTCATTAAACAAAAATAGTGGGTAATTTAAAACAGAATAAGTGACAGAAAACAGGATTGATAGAACATCAAGAGGATATTATTATAAATGAGGGGAAAAGAACTTTATTTGAAACTTTACAACAACCTTTGATGTCTCTAGATTATTTTTTATTTTTTAAAATTTTTATTTATTCATTTTTTTTTATTACAGCTTGATTCCACACTGTATTTTTTGTACAAGTATGGAATTTTCAGCATGGATATCGGTAGCCCAAATTTTGCAGGCCGAAAATAGATACCAGGTGTTCGTCGGCAGGGGATCGAACCTCGGACCATGTGCATGATCGGCGAGAGTCCTAACCACTGTGACAGTGACGCACAGTGAGATTGATTCTTAGCTCAAGTGAAACTGCCTGAATGGTATTCACCTCAACTTCCTTTATATTATCATAAATATATAATGAGCATACCAAAAGTCTATTTATGTCATATTTCAGTACAAAGAAGCTGATATATCTAAGACTGATAACAAGAAAGATTCTGTCATCTCTCTATCTCTTAAATGCAAGTACTTCTTT